TATATATTCAGCTACTAGATAGTCAAGTCTAATGATGTTGGTGGTTGAAAAGCTTCAAAATATTATTAGAAGCGGCAAAAATTCGTCGCTCGGTGGTATTCGTCGCTCGGTGGTTGATTACGTTAAGAACTATCTGGCTGACTAAGCCGGCTAAGCGAGGTCGAATAGGGGCATACGACCACCTTGTGGGTCCGTATGTGCCAACAGCATGTAGGAGGCGTGGTTGTGGTCCTACTGTGTCCAAGGTGTCCATAAGACAGGAAGGGGCTCCGCGACCGGAAATGATGGCCTTTGATCATGAACATCCAGCCCGCCAACTCATTTGCACTTCCAAGCATTACTTCTTCGTTTCTTTGCATCAGTAAAGTGGAAAGTTAATACTCTAAGTCCGCATTGCTGGCAAAATGGCATCTAGGAAGTGAGCAGAATTACGACCTCCCAGTTATTATTGGGCTAACATACACTAGGGTCTGCTATCAGTATGCAAACAACGGTATCTGTCGATTCAAGAATTGTCAGTACGACCCATGCGCGAGCCGCTCCAGAAACAACGGCGGAAAAGGAGCTACAAAGCGGAAAACGCATCGTTTCGCTGTCAAGAATAATAGTCGGTTGGATTTCTGGACAAAAAAAGCATTCGAGGGTAAATACAGGCCACCCTTAGGCCAGGAGCTTGGGCCCTTCTTCGAACAGGGCAGAAGCCTTATCGAAGCCAGTGACGGGACCCTTCAAGAAGTCATCCAATGTCTTTCGTCAAGCGGCGGCCTGAAGAGGATTCAAGAGCTCGTCGAACGGGACTATTCGGAAATATCAGACATCAGCAAACGCGAATTATTTGAAAGCCAGACATTACCGTTCATCAAGCTAGTTACCCATCGCAATGTGCTCGCATCACTGGTTGTGGAGCAGAATGTGGTTGCTATATACAACTGTATCTGGGGGCCAATGGGCCGCAGAGGGGAGCCCTTCCTCCATTTTCTTGCGGATATCGTCCAGCACAAAGTAGAGAATTACACGAAATCCGCTGCTTCCTATTTGGAAATGTGCGTCCATATTTTATCCCAAGTAGTGGATTTCAACTCGACCGCCTTCATTCACGAGCCGTTGAAAGACATTGCCATAAGGTTTCGCGGCTTTTTTTATGGAACTGCAAAGCTTGGACCCGGAAGGACAGCTAGAAAACTCACGAGCTCACCTCGAACGGCTCCAGCGCCGTCTTGACATCGGAAAGTCCTTGCCGACATTATTTCGAAGCTCAAAGCTGGCTTCGGCCAACCAATCTCCAGCGACATTTACCATCACAAGAGCTCCCCCTGGTGGTCGGCACGACAATGATCACGCCGATATCTGCCAAATCCAAATCATGCCCACCTACCAGGAAATCTTGTCATCACAATCAGAGTATCTCCCTCTGAAGGACCCAGCACAGTGGCACATTGGCGGTCTCGCTGGACTTCTGGATAGGAATTCCCGGCTGCTGAGAGAAGACACAGTTGGCCAGCTGAGGGACGTCATCCATGCAGAGCTAAGGTCGGGCTCCAAGGGTTCACAGAAAAGTCCGCTAAGGGGCAATGTGTATAAACAGGTCAAATTAGAAGGACTCAAATTCGATCGATTTGCGGGGCTGCAATTCCGGGTCCAATTCGCACAGCCTTCAAATGTCCAGGCGATAAAAAAGGATTGCAAAAAGGAATGGTGGGAATTATCGAAAAGACTTCAGCCGAGTGCTCTTGTGTGCCTGATCGATTCTCGAGGATTTGCCATATTCTGCACAGTAGCAGACAATCTCAAGTGTTCAAAAGTTAAAAACAACTATGAACCGAATGTGCGGCTGAAATCGACGGCGTCACTCTGGGAGAATGCCAAAACGGCGTCGGTAAACCTGGAGTTGGTCGAACAGACTGGGACGAACTGGCAGTATATCTTGGACTGTCACTCAGCGGTGAAGAACGGCCCATCCATTTCCCTGATGGAATTTACCGGGATTCTCTTGCCATCTTTTCAGCCGACCTTACTCGCCCTCCAGAAAATGCAGAAGGCTGCTGACCTTCCCATGTCGGAGTTCCTTGTCCCCCTCGGCGCGGGCTCCTCAGGCGGTGTGGTTGATGTTGCCCCTCCGGCCTACGCAACAGCGGCAAGCTTCAGCTTTGACCTACATGTACCCGCGCCGTCCCTGGATCCTTTCCTTCTCTAGCTTAGAATTCCGTATCGTACCTACGAATAAGATTTACTCTTTTCCTTGAGGTTGTCACATACGGTGTGCGACAGCGCGCGCCACCAGTGAGGACGTACGCAAAAAAGTATGGCGTTTCCATGTAGAAAGCTTTCTCCACGCGCTGCTCTCATTCGCGCTTAATTTGTCTGTTCCTAGGAAAGCTCTCTCTTGGCTCTAGGGTTCATGTTTCCTTTCTATAATTGCTCCCTTTACTGCTCTACTGCACTTATCTTACTGTAACGCACTACGTCATATCACCTCGCGACTTGCTGCTGACATGCCCCTTGCTGGAGACACACATCTTTGCTGGATTTGGCGCCAAGCCCTCGGAAATAGCCGGTGCAGTTTGGCGGACAGTTCCGGGGACTAAAATGAATTCAATAAAATTTAACTCAAAAACAATGGTAGTAAGAAGGTAGAGTAACGTGATTAAACATGATGTATTTCCTTCTGCTTAGGCTTTTCCTAAGAGTGCTGGTTTAGATGTATATTCGATCTCTTTTACCTTTCCTTGTTTGCTTTTGTCAAACATATATTCCGGGACGAACCATTGGTTGGAAAAAGGTCTCAGCGCTGCAGACACGACGCTACCCCTCCATTTCAACCTCGTCAGCCTGAGAGTTCAACCCTCCTGCTGGATAGCTCCGAACCATGGTTAATTCTTTCAGGGGACCAAAATTAGCATATATCGCTAGTATCGGAACTAGTCTTTGGTTATCTATGACATGAAAGAATGAGCTTCAGGCACGACGACTACACCATAGCATGGATCTGCGCCTTGCCGCTGGAAATGACAGCGGCAAAGGCCATGCTGGATAAGGTCCATCCTTCACTGCCCCAGCCGGAAACCGACCACAACGTCTACACACTTGGGAATATTTCCGGCCACAATGTGGTGGTGGCCTGCCTCCCGTCAGGTGTTTACGGAACCACATCTGCGGCAATCGTGCTTGCTCACATGTTGCCGACGTTTCCTTCTCTTCGATTTGGGTTGATGGTAGGCATCGGGGGCGGGGTGCCCGGCAAAGTCGCAGATATTCGCCTTGGGGATGTGGTCGTTAGCATGCCAACTGCGGCCTCTGGAGGCGTGATCCAATATGACTATGGGAAGACACTTCGTGATGGACGTTTGCAGCGTACTGGATCGCTTAATCCACAATACCTGCTCACCGCAGTATCTCAAATACGCAGTGATTACATGGTCAGAGACTCACTCCTCAAGAAAGGTATGTCGGAGATGCTTCAGAAGCACCAAAAGATGCACGAATAATTCTCGCGGCCAGACCAAGACTGGCTGTTCAAATCGGGCTATGATCATGAGAGCAAGATCGCCGACTGTTCACTATGTGATCAGTCCCAGCTAGTAGTTCGTACACCACGAGAAACTAATGAGCCGCTCATTCATTATGGGTTGATTGCTTCTGGGAATCAAGTTATGAAGAATGCTAAGATACGAGACTCCATTGCCCAAGAGTTGGACATCCTCTGCTTTGAAATGGAGGCAGCCGGGTTGATGGATCAGTTACCATGCCTGGTCATCCGAGGAATTTGTGACTATTGCGACTCGCATAAATATAAATAATGGCAGGGATATGCAGCGCTTACTGCAGCTGCTTATGCAAGAGCTCTTCTGGAAGTGGTTCCTCTGTACAGCAATGATCTGAGCAGGAAAAAAAGAAGCCGCTGGATGGTCCCCTTCGCGAGAAATCCACGATTTGTTGGCCGACAGAATGAGATCGACAGCCTTGAATGATTGATTATTCACTCAAAAGGGCCGACAAAGATTGCCATATGTGGACTAGGCGGAATTGGAAAAACTCAAATCGCACTGGAGCTAGCTTATCGCGCACGACAAAAGGTTCTTGGAAACTCGATTTTCTGGATCCCATGTATGAGCTATGAAAGTGTCGAACAAGCTTATCTGAGCATTGCCTCGAGCCTAGAAATGACGGATATAAAGCCAGCAGAGGTGAAAGAGCAAGTCAAAACTTTCCTCAGTCAAGAACACGCTGGGAAGTGGCTTCTTATTTTTGACAATGCGGATGATGTGGAGATGTGGACCAAGGGAAGCGCGACTGCGCCACCACTCAAGGACATTCTCCCCCAGAGTGAACATGGCCATATACTCTTTACTTCGCGGAACCGAAAGCTCGCAGTGAAGTTGGCGTCACCGAATGTGCTATTGATTCCTGAGATGGATCGAAGCACCGCCAAAGAGATATTCGAGAAATTACTCATACAAAAGGATTTGCTACAGGACGATTGTGCAACTACTGCTGTCCTTAAGCAGCTTGGCTTTCTGCTGCTTGTAATTAGTCAAGCCGCAGCTTATATCAATGAAAATGAGATTTCGTTATCTGAGTATCTGTTATTGTTAGGTGAGCAAGAGAGAAGCACAATTGAAATGCTAAGCAAGGAATTCGAGGACGAGGGACGCTACGCAGAGATTCAGAACCCAGTGGCGACAACCTGGTGGATCTCTTTCTTGCAGATCCAGCAACTGGATGAATTAGCGGCTGACTATTTGTCATTCATGGCCTGCATTAATCCACGAGATATCCCGCAGTCGATTCTTTCACCTGCAGCTTCAGTAAAGAAACAAGCAGAGGCAATAGGTCTTCTGAAGGCGTATTCCTTTATTACTGCACAGGTTCGTGATGGTCTATTTAGTCTTCATCGACTTGTACATCTTGCGACTCAAAATTAGATGAGAATAGACAAGACTGTTGATATTTGGGCAGAAAGAGCAGCATGCCAGTTAGATGACGTCTTCCCTGATGATGACCATGGCAATCGAAAAATATGGAGAGACTACCTACTACATGCGCTCTATTTGACAAACAGTGAACAATTCCAGAGGTGCCGGCATGAGTATCATGATCTTTCTTCAAGGATAGGAAGATGCTTGCAGAGCGATGGAAGATATAATGAGGCTCAAATTTTCTTTACTGATGTCCTGGAAATCGGGGAGACAGCTCTCGGACCCGAGCATCCCGCGACTCTCACCAGTGTCAGCAACCTTGGTTCAGTGCTTGAGGGTCAGGGCAAGTATGAAGAGGCCGAAGCCATGCATTGACGAGCACTAGAAGGCAGAGAGAAGCCCCTAGGACCCGAGCATTCTGACACTCTCACCAGCGTCAGCAACCTTGTTTCAGTGCTGGAACGACAGGGCAAGTATGAAGAGGCTGAAGTCATGCACCGACGAGATCTAAAGGGATCAGAGGAGGTACTAGGACCAGAGCATCCTGACACTCTCATCAGCGTCAGCAACCTTGGTTCAGCGCTGGAACAACAGGGCAAGTATGAAGAGGCTGAAGCCATGCAACGACGAGCACTAGAAGGCCATGAGAAGACCCTAGGACCAGAGCATCCCGACACTCTCACTAGTGCCAACAACCTTGGTTCAGTGCTTGAACGACAGGGCAAGTATGAAGAGGCCGAAGTCATGCATCGCCGAGCGCTACAAGGCTATGAGAAGGCCCTAGGACCAGAACATCCCAACACTCTCACCAGTGTCAGCAACCTTGGTTCAGTGCTTGAACGACAGGGCAAGTATGAAGAGGCCGAAGTCATGCATCGCCGAGCGCTACAAGGCTATGAGAAGGCCCTAGGACCAGAACATCCCAACACTCTCACCAGTGTCAGCCAACCTTGGTTCAGTGCTTAAACAACAGGGCAAGTATGAAGAGGCCGCAGCCATGCATCGGCGAGCTTTAGAAGGTCGAAAGAAGGTTCTAGGACCCGAGCACCCCAACAAACTGACTATCATGAACAAAACAATCTGGCTCACACCTGGATATCACAAGATAAGGTAAGGGCATTATTATTAGCTAAACAGCGTTAATAACAAAGATATAAACAAATTACAATATGTGGAAAGGTAGACTTTCTTCATTAGCTCACAAATCTAAGGAAATCTCAAGCTTTTGTTAGCGAAGATGAAGTAGCATGAATATATCTACATCTTTACGAGGTAAATACATATTTCTCGCACTATGTTCAAGAATTTCTTACTACTCACACCACGACTAACTACAATCATATTTAAACCGCATATTTTTGACTACATATACACTTTCTTATGTAGATACATTAAGATACAAAGACATTTCTGTAAATGATATCTTCCGGAGTGTGTCAGCCAGATCCTAGTCTATTATCTCTGGCTAGTCCAGCCATTCCAACGACAGCTGCGGGGCTTAGCATTTCAGGAGACCGCACCGATATCCCCTTTCCTTTGGCCTCCAGGTGCTGGCGGCTTTACTAGTGATCGACTAAGCAAGGCATTACGCCGAGAGTTCCAAGAGTATCTAAAGATCGATATTACTCTCGCAGACTATCGGCATGTC